AACATCAATTTACCCCCAAAAAGCATGCACTGCTGCAGATGTCTGCCAATTTTGTTTGATTGTATTTAGAGATGGGACTACAATAGCAGTTACCAACATCAGCAAAGCTGCATTATGATGACACAATATAATACTTCTTATTGAGAGATTTTAATCACAAGTATTAGACAGTAACTAAAAGTAAAAAAAAAATAAAACCCTAAACCAATTATCAACATTCCCATTCAAAAATACACAGCCATAATAAAAACTGCAGTAGCAAACAAAATGTAACATTATAATTTCTTTGATATGTGGATCATAGAAGCAATTCATTATAGTAGCTCCTTGAAAGTTGCCTCAGTAATAGTATAGAACTGCTGAAATGTTTACACATTGTACAACTTAACACCAAAAACCAACCCTTCTTTTAAATGGAAATGACATTTCTATGAAAGACTCTGATTTAAAAACATAGCCAAGTCAATATTCAGTGTGATGTTTAAAAATAGCAAAGAACAGGAACACAGTATACAACAGAGAAGAATAAGCATGTCAACCTTCCTGACTGAAGCTGGCTTATGAAATTCCAACAAGCAAATTACGCTAATTAATATTTTGCTTTTGAAGCCTAATGTGAAAAGGTGGTTAAAATCTACTACCACAGCAGCAGCCCAGGCATTTGGCTCCTACACTTGAGAAAGATGCTGATTTCTTGTAATGTTTTTCAGTGGATGAAAAAAAAGCTGGTAAATACACTAGTATTTCAGAATAAATATATATTCAATATACAATAAGATTGAAAAATGGAACATGTAACAGATTTCCAGTTCAAAATTTCCAAGTAATCGACAAAAATACCAGCCAATATTTATTGAAACCATTAAATGGCTCAAATGGTTAAATTCCTAGCTGAGAAAAATATGATTACATGACTTCTGGGCACTAGGAAAACACATCATTTGAAAATGTGTCTAGAAAAGTATGTGTTTACCAATTAAAGAAAAAGCTTAGAAGCTGCAGCAGATAAATTAAATAGTAGAGACTAATCAATCACAGTGCTAAAATGATAGATGACAACTAAACTGAAGCCCCAGGGAGCTACAACTACAGAGCCATTTTGCAAAATCAGGCTGCATAACTAGCATACCTCAAAGCAGTACAGAATCTAAATCCATGTCAGAGATGTCACATTAAAAAGCACAAAGTGGTGTCTGTAATATAGGAATGATAAAAAGAAAAATAAAGTTTTGAGGCACAGAATTTTGTAAGCATATAAGCCATAGAGAATAGACTCCTCTGAATAGTCTTGACATGATAACCAAAAGACAGGCAACATAAACAACCTTTACATTATGCAAATGCTACTATATAATTTACCAGAAGTTCATACTTTCACTATGTGAGGGGGGGAAAAAAAGAGTGAAACTAATTTAAGGGAAGATCTCATTAAAGACTTAAGGTAGTGGAAATGCTACAATGAACAATTTTGTCCAAGCCTGCAGTATATGCACATGAATTTTAATTTGCAATGACAAAACCTGTGACAAAATGGCAAAAAAAACAAGGAATGAGGGCAGGCACTTCCATGCTGCCTCTAGATTACTATAATGCATGAAAGACTGAAATAATAATGTAAGGGAAGGTTACTGTGGTTAGTACAGAATATTCAGGAACTACAGGCTCATTTCTTTTTGAATACTCATGAATTCAACTTTTACAAAACAACCCTTCCAAAACCAAAAAAACCTTTCATTTAGCTACTTCAGCTCTGGTACATTACATACCTCTAGATGTAATATGGTAAATGGTAAAATATAAAACACAGTAGCTTTTGAAATAGATATTAGGGCAAACAAGGGTAGTGTTGCACACTCATGAGCTAATAGTAAGTCTAACATGAATAACAAATAATGGAGTCAAACTTCACGTACAATAATTTTCAGCAGGCCAAACCTCCTCTCATCTGCTCACAGCAGTCTGGATTCTGGCCATCCCTCTCCTGTACTAGCACTATGCTTGTGCAATCTCCTAATTTACATCACATCACCTGAACTTGTCTTTGTCAAACAAGAGTAACAAAAAACCTGTTATCAACCAGCCACCAATTATTTGCCACTTCTTTGACAAACCAAAGTTTGGATTTTTTTCCTGCTCCATAAAGGATACCTGTAATCTTTTGCAATATCAAGGACAAATGACAAAGGCCCTTACACTTAAAATAAAGTTGGGAACACGTAAAACCCACAAAACATACTATATATTATGACTTTTATTTTATCCTTTTAAAATAAGAACAATATAAATTTTAATTATATTTTCTCTATATGTGGGAATCCAATCTTTTTTTCCCAGATATTTTAAATTTTAGATTTTAATTGAAGTTGAAAGAAAAAAGGTATTCTGAAACAACTCCATAATTCCAATTTATCAATCACAGTGTCAGAAGAATGACTGGTTAGTATATGAATAACACAGTTCTCAAGGGTGTTGTTAGAAGGCCCAAACATACCATACACAACCTTTCCTCCATGGGAGAATGTACAGCCTGATCAAGCTGGTAGCATTGCTTCTCACTGATGATGGATGAGAGGTAAGGGTAATTTTATTTCTGTTTTATTATTCTAATTTCCCATGTATATTCCAAAGAGAGTGTTAAATAAATTTCACATCATGAATGTTAAATAACCACTGCAGAGTTTCATTTTTGTTGCTATATTTTCATTATATGTTAGATCATTTGTAGTTTATAATGATAACACCACGACTGATAAAAGTAACTGATGGATAATATGAAAAGGTCCTGTCAACCTACTCTGCCAGCAGAAGAGAGAGAATTTTTATGTGAAGGAGTACCAGTAATAGTTAACTAATTTTTTCTCACTATACACAAATAAATACATGTTATTCTGAAAACAGCTGCCTGAGAGTTCTGGCCACTTAACACAGAAACACAACTGGGGGTATCTTCTAAAGTCTACAGTAGTGAAATTTATTTTCTACAAGTAGGTCTGTAACGACTTGTGGACTTTTTGTATACATATATCAGCTGAGCTATAAAAATTGCTTGGAATTGCTAGCATTTATTCATGTAACTATCAGTGACCTGCTGCCAAAACTTCAGATCCAGAGGGCGTAAAGCATGATTGATTAGGTTGAAGGTATCCCATGCATTAAGTAACAACTTCTAAAGTTCCACTGCATCTTTCCACACATCAAATAAAACTGCAATACCTGACCCATATTACACTATGTTGCAACCCTTTGTGAATTCCTGAGACACATGCATATGGCATTATTCTGTGTGTTATGAGCTGACAACAGCAATAAGGCTCTTGGTCTGCAGAGTATCTATCTGATACTAGAAATAGCAAGCTCAAAACTTGCCCAAGATCAGAAACATTCTGCAATGCAGCTCTGCCAAGAGTAAGAGGAGATGGCCCTGTGTGGGAGATGCGAGCAGAAAACATGAAGTTCGAGCAGATTGACTATGTGGCAAAAAATGGAAAGATAAAGGGTAAAAAGAGGTGTGATATAGGGAAATATATCATATATAGGATAGTGTGATGTAGGGAACATAAACCACAGGAATCACAGGGGAAAGAAAATTAAAGGAAAGTATTGCTGATAGAAGAAATTAAAGAAATCAAAGGAATAGATAAATAGGAGTTTTGAGAAGTTTTCTAGAATTCTCTGGTACATATGTGTCATTTACTATGTATCTAGAAGATGCCCACAGGTAACAGTTTAGTACAGTGTACAAATAACTACGCAGGTTCACAAACAAGCATTGTCTTGTCCTTGGATTTGTGAAATGTCACACATTTCCCTTCTTGTTAAAGTCCATCATCAAACTTGTCTGCCCAGAGATATAATGGGTAATTTTTTTTTGCTATTGAGATTTACACACATTCTTTCCCAAGAAGGAGTATTATTTTATTACTTCTCAAGAAATATTCAAGATTTATTTCCATTCAAAACTAGCCTGTTCCATATGCCTGTCTGGCTAAATGAATAGGGATTTCATATACAACAGTAAAACTTCTTAACTTGTACTGCCAAATGTATATTTTAAATGCAGAATGGTGCTAAAGAACACATATTCTCTGCGCATTACTTACCGTCCACAATTATCTACCACAAAAATGGCGGGTTCTATTGGCACCTAGCACAGAGGAACTGTTTTGTTGGAACTGTTAATAGAAATGTGCTAACACAAGACCACCTGCTCTGCTTCTCAGAAGATATTGCCACCTGTTAAACACCCAGTAACGTGGTACACTCGTAGAATCAGCTACGCTTCCCAGGGCACATTACTTTGGATTGGCAGTGAAGGCAGTGTCAGTGCCCTACTTTGTCATGACTGGTACTTCACCAACAGCCCAAGATTTTTTCCTAGGGACAATATCAATAATATCACCCACAACACAAACATGGCTCATTTTCTTGTCTCAGCAAGTGGTCTTAATTTCTTGGTGTTTTATAATGCTGCAGTTGTCAAGGGCCAGCACAGCCATGCTCTGCAATTGGTTGGACTGTGTAGTGAACAGCACAGCTATGACCAGTTTGGAACTGTTAGTCACTGGTTATGTGGTTAACACAAACCCATAAAAGTCTTTTGCTCCTACACTGACCCAGCACCATCTGACTACAGTGATGAATCTGCTTTTCTGCAAAATTTCATGTGTGAGCAAATGCTGGCATAATATTTTGTTTTTAGCTTGGTAGTGTCAGTTTCTACTGGAATGTATTTTTACTGAGATAAACAATGCAATATTCTCAGTATGGACAGCAATGAAGACACTTTGTGTGGACTACAAAGTGGACTACCTGGGCCTACCTGAGATTGTAGGATTTATAAAAGTCTACCCCTGTGAAATGAAAACTAAGTTGGATATGAGGCAGAAATGTTCACTGCACTAATTTCTTACATTTGTTAGAAGAACTGCAAATACAAAAGAATGAAAAAAACTAAAAAGGAAGTGCAAGTCATGTTTAAAGTATGTAAGTTGGTCACTTACTGTTCAGAATAGAGAATGTATGCTTAACTCTCTTCTCTTTGTTTATTCAGGACTCCACGCCTCTGTAAGAAAAACAAATACATGCATTTATCATGTTTCTATCTAAATGGAACTACCTAGTTTCACTTGTTCTAGAGAAGTTTGCCATTTTCAAATAGCAGCAGAGATGAGAAATCAACAAGTTCGGGAACAAATCTCCCTTGAAACTTCAGACTAAATGCTGGGCATCCTAATTTCATCTGGGCACCTGCAGGTCTTCCCAGTTCCAGGAAGGTGACAGGCTTTCACATTTCTGAGACTGGCAATCCTCTTGTCTAAAATGTGGTGTATTAGATCTTGGCTGAATTACCCATTAGACTGAGGAGTCAAGGAAGAAAGAACATATGCCTCCAAAGACAGCCACAGCCTCACTCACCACTTTTGGAGGAGAGTGGAACATGCTGCAGAGGGGTGTTTGCTGCCTCACTCCTGCTGTTTCATAGAGGAAATTTGTGCAGTGAGAACTGAACACAGCACACCAGCTGCTTAGCCTTTCTTGGCCAGTTTACAAGCATCACAACAGAGGTGAGTTTTAAGGCAGGATTTGATGGAACACAGCATACTGCTTTTGCAGATTTTACTATTAACAATTTTCATTAATAAAGGCTGCTTGAGAGAAGGGAGAAAATTGGTACTGCTGGGCAATAGGGATTACAATAAGGGCAATGCTGGTGTGAAAGGGCAAGCACAATCGACCTGTGAAGTCATTAATTGTGAAGATGACCAATTTGGATGCAGTTAAAAAATGGAGCCAAATACATAGTTGCCAAGATAGACAAATGTATTTTTTACATAAACTAGAAAATGAAAACTTTGTTATCTGAAACTGTCACACTACAGCACACCAACACTTACACTGGTCTTTGGAAAAGGCAAATCATGATTCCATCTACCATCTCACTCTAATCAACAAACCATCTTTCATGGCTCAGATAATATAGCACTCAAACTATAACTAATTATAAAATCTATTTTCCCCTTCTATTTTAGTAAGAAATTATATTTCTTTCTGTATTGTTCTGTCAGTATTTATGACATACCAGAAATCACTCATATTTGCATATAAGTCTACTGAAGGAACCTGTTAAGCAACAATTGATAACTGTTTGGAGCCAAGGGCTATGTAATACATTAGTCAGTAGCATCTAATATTATGATGATATTTAAAGTTTTAAACTTTTTTGAACCATAGGAATCAGCTCTTCTATCTAAGCAGCCCATTTTGTTATGTCCCAGACCTCAGTGAGGAGCTGAACACTTAAAATGATGCAAGGTTAACTGGGCAATGATTTGAAATCTTACTCTAAAGGATTCAGAATAATTCAGATGCTGGTGTAAAACACAGCTAATTTCATTCCCACAGTTTGTAACTCATATCAAATGTCAAGTCAATAGCCTTAGCAGGCCTTACCTTGCTTGGTGCTCTGTATTAGCTGTATAAAATGTTCTGGAACAGACCATGACAGACCTAATCTGAGCTACTGTACTCCAATATCTCTTGAATGGCTTCAACCAAAACTCTGCCTCTTGCTGTCAAGTCAAGTCTTCCCAAACTGAGGCATTTGAAATTCAGAAACACTCAAAAAGAGGATTCAATAAAAGAACCTCTAATCTCCACCTTCTCCTGGGGTTCAGAACTAGGGTTTTGGTGCAGGGCCCTGTGTATATCCTGCATTTGAGCAGAGGTAGCTGCAAGTGCCTTAGAGAAATTAACACCCAGAGTCACACCTGCTCTGTGGTACACTGTCTCAATCTTTCCCTGTTTCTCTAAGCTGTCTGTGTCAAGCTGTGTCATATTTATTACTGAGCCTTTCAGGAGGTTCACTACTTCCTTCTGCCACAACTACAGAAAATGGAAAGATAAATGTTTACTATAGTATTAATTGTAAATAATTAAACAAAAATACAGGTTATGCACTAGAGAAGCAAATTTAGGCGAAACTATGAATAAGTGCAGTGCTGCATTAAGTGCAAACAGAGACAACCTGCCTGCTCCTTTGAAGCTCACAGTCTGAGTTTTCAAAATATATGAAAAATGTAATGCACATCTGGAATAAATAAGTAAAAAACAACCAATAAAATGTAACAGTTGTCCGGGAAACTAAATACCATCACTCTTTGCAAGGATTTGCAGAGGTAAAATATAAGGAGATAAATTAACTGGTAATATTTGCATTTTTAGAGGAAGATTAAAACATTACAAAAGAAATTCAACTGTGTTTCTATCACTTACTAATAAACACAGGCTATTTTTTCTCAGATGTGTTGGAAGATTAATTCATAACCCTTGGTTATGGATTCCTGTGGGTCTTCAGTTCAGGAGATCCCCTGCAGTGACAACTATATTTTCAGAGCTGCAAATAGCATCTGTCATAGCACTAGTATCTTCCAAGGCTCCGTTTTTACTTCAAAAATATTTGCAAGGGAAGACGTTTCCTAATGAAACCATTGGAAATATCAACAGAAACACATTTTGATACATGTGAATACATCTTGTAATATCCCTTTGAAGTGTAATCTATATTTACAAATATTAAATATAGATAGAAGATACTTTAAGGCATTTAATTTCAGGGTAAGTACTCATTTAAATGATCTACAACTTTTACTTCAGTTAGCATACAGATATGCAAAAGTAAGCAAAACGAAGCCTTTTCTCATTAATTCTAAACTCTCTGATCCCAGTCACCTTTATGGTAACCAATTATGGAAATAGTCCCATTAAACTGGGGCAGGACTGGAGCTGTAAAATCAAACCAGTTCAGTCAACAACACTGAATTTAAGATTATACATACATACATGCTCATGAAATGAAACCCTACTCCACTGCAAGGAAGGGATTCTTTGCAATTTTCTCAGGCAGCTCGTGTTTAACTCATACAGAAATAGCGGATTTACATTTATTACAGGTGACAAAGAACATTTCTAGCATCCCAGAATCATGGCAAAAATAAGCCCCTTTTATTAGATGCTCCACTTTTCATTGTGAACTGTGGTACAAAAGATGAAAGGGAAGTTTCATGGTAATTAAAAGATTTCTCAAGATATCTTAGGCCATCTCCAGTTTCTTTATGCCATTACTATTTTTGAAGCCAGGAACAACTATGTGATCTTTTACAAACTCCATGAAGAAAAAATTTCTATCTGTTTAGGATTATGGGCTAAACACTCATTAGTAGAGCATATGGCTGTTATTTGAGTATTATTCTTCTCTCTCTTCTTTCAAACACTGAGGAATAATTTTGCAAACTGAATCTCTGTACTCTGGAGTAATAAAAAGCTGCTAATATATCATCATTATGACTCAGTGACAGTTCCAGAGCACAACTGGACATTTTTGTCATGAAGGAATAAAAGCTCTAGAAATGAGTTTCAGGAGAGTTTTGGTTTTGATAGAGCTGACTTTATTGATTGTCTTTCAGACCTGAGGGCATCCACTTATGTGGCATATCTGAGAGGTTTGGAATAAACCATTTTGAAATTTTGTGTGGCAAAACGAAAAAATATAAACAAAACCTCAAACAAAAAGCAGCTGGTGTGTAACCTACTGAATTTAGCAGCACATCCTCAAAACACAAGCCCAGTAGTCTTAGAAGTGAAAATGGGTATTTCAAATTTTATTCTCTGCTTTAGAATTATTTATGAGAAAAAATCAGATTAATTGAAAGTGGAGGAGTCCATTATGAATAGACTGACATCCTGTAAAACATAGAACTGACGTCTGGAAAAATGAGGCTAGCATTCGATTATGAAGTTTAAATTAGCTAATAACCAGTACAGAGTCTGGATAATTTCCAGTTGCATAATGTGCAACAAATTAAATGCATTTTGAAAAAAAATGCAGTTGTGGGCATTTATTAATCGTTTCAAATATTGAAACAGAAATTGTCATACATTATGAACCTTACAGTCCTTAATCATATGTATATTCCACAGTTTTATGGGCTTAATTTGCTCAGCATCAACTTTTACTGTGAGTAACAGTGATTTTGTCAAAACCTCAAATAAGTCACAGAACAGATCTGAGGATTACTTCAGAAGGGATTTAAAGCACGCCCTGTGAATCTCTATACAACCACCACTTAAAACACTACCCGTTCAGGCCCAGATGGATTGCTATGGCAACAGAATCCCAAATACCAGGTTTGTAACTAAAAAAAATGTAAATTATTGATGAACCCAGAGTTGTCTCTCTTGGACACCCTCCTATTCAAATACCAAGCCGTATGGTTAGAATACAGAGAAATGGTTGATATGCAATTTCCCCAGCCCAGTGAGCACTAATCCCAAAGGATTTCATTAAATCTTTTGGCTTAAATTTTTATTCTTGGAACAGCAGTCAGCAAGCAGGGATTACATTAAAACAGGCACTATTGAGGTCATTACTGACTGAATTCAGGTCTGTAATATAACAAAACAGGAACTAATTTTAAATATACCTCCACACACAATTCCCCCCCCCAAATAACACTGCTCGAAGTTATTATATATTTGATGACAGCACTTTTTCCACTCAAATCACCACCATTCCTCCTTGCCTACAGGCAATGATGGAGAACAGTACTAAAGAGTGAAAAACAAAAACACACATTATTTGATAAAGAGGGGCACATCTCATGGTAGAGGTGACTGTGCATAAACAACTGAGTTGCAGGACGATGAATGTAAGGAGTCTCTGTAGCCTCTGATATTCGGTAACCCAAAACCAAAACCAAGAATAAAAACTTCTCTAGCAAATGAGCAAACCAGAAGAGAAGAAGTACTTATTGGCATTTTTACTGCAAGTTTCATGGACAGTCTGGTAAGGGAAAAAATAGTTGTAGGAAAGCCAAACACTACTGGAAACCCTCTCAGACTTTATACACAGTGATTAATACAGTGAATGTCAGACAAAAAACAGACCCATCAGTTCTCAAATTCTGGACTGTGACAGTCCAGTTTTCTTTTAAAAGAAACTATGGCTTTAAAAAACCCAAACAATTCTCAGGTGTGCCTGCCATTAGGTGTCACTGTACACAGAAG